ATTACCACCATGCTATTGTGCTATTCCAGATGATATTAAATGTTACATAATACTTCCTTGAGATAAATGTATAGTATATATCAGGTACCTCAAAGAGAGCTCAGGTTCTCAACTGGCTCAGCCATGTTAATATTGTTATTATTATCCACTCTGTATCTGTGTTTTTCTGGCTAAATAAACTGTTTCAATTCAATTCAATTCAAACTATTGCACCCCCCCCTATCTATGTCACTCTACCTCCCCCCCCACCCACCTCTTGTTCCCTTACAGGATCTGCCGTAGTGCAGAGATGCGTCATGTATCGTCTCTCAGTCTCTTCATTATATCTCGCACACCTGATATATTTCTTTTAATAATGCGTATATTTGTTATCTGGTTTTCACTTTTTATCAGTTACTGGAGAGAGAGAGAGAGAGTGTGGTGCAGGTAGCTGTGGTGGCCAGGTCGAGTCACTCAGTAAGCCTACACACACACACATTGGTCTCCTCACTAGACCTGCTGTAAACAGATATCCATTTTGGTTCACTATCAGGACCCAATTTGGGGGGGATAGGGTGATACGGGGTAAGGAGGGTGTTGGGGTGGTGGGGCTGAGGGCTTTCTTTTTTTTTAGTTTAACAAATTTATTGACAAAGCTTGTAGTACAGTTTGCCTATTGTGAGTAATTCAGTCAGGTCTTGACACTGAGGGTGGTATCACTTCTCACTGCCACACAGGACAGAGGTTCATACACATTGACTCAAGGGTGAGGGGTTGTGTGGGAATGAAAATGGAGAGGGGGTAATGGGATGAGGGGGTGATGGGAGAGGGGGTATGAAGGTGAGGAAGATAGGGGGGGGGTCGATGAGTGGGAGTGTGGGGGTAAGATGAGGGGTGTGAGGGTTTAACGGGGGTGTTGGGATGAGGGGGTTACCATGGTGAGGAGAGTAGGCCGAGTGGGGGGGGGGTGAGAGGAAAGGGGAGAGAGTGGTGGACGGGAGGCATTGTCAGAAGGCTAACACGTGACTTTGGCCCCAGAGGAAAATGGCAGCGTTCTCAGCGTTTGATCACGTTTTACCGCAGTTTCCCCACACAAGGCCTCAACACCAAGCTGCCTCAATCAACCCAAAGTGCTCTATACTGCAGCTCCTCAAAGTGACCTTATCTGTTAGGGGTTTTATTATGATTGTTCACCTGAAAATTAGCCCCCCCTCCCTCCTCAACTTGTTTCACCTGATCATTAAAACACCCTAACGTTCCTTGGGGACAGGGGGATGGGTTAGGTTAGCTTAACTTAGCGTTTGTTTAGGTTAGTTTAGGCAGGTTTAGGTTAGCTTAGCGTTTGTGATGTTTAATCATAAGGTGATATAAGCTTAGTGGAAGGCTACTGTTCAGGTGATCTCGTATTACATCATCTCACATACCACCTCAGCCTTGTCACAAGAACTCCCCACTCCCACACATGTTTACGTCAGAGCTCTCGTCGGTTGGTGTGGGTTCTCCTGTAATACTGCGGAGTAATTCTTGTCTCTGTTTCTTGAGTAGCACTGTAATGCTTATTCGGGTTACCTGCAGATTAACCCCCCTAAATTATTTCGCATTAACATTAACCATCCTAGAGTAAACCTAACTTAATGTAACTTTTTAACTTAAACCTGCTGATTATCCCCTCAGCTTATTTCGCTCTGAGATCAACCACGCTAACTATATCTTGAACTTGCGAGACCTCGCTTGGATTACGCAGTTCAGTTCTGGTCACCGTACTACAGAATGGATAATGAATCCCTAGAAAGAATTCAGAGGAGAATGACAAGACTAATCCCGGGCTTTAGGAACCTTGAGTACAGAGACAGGTTAAAGCATCATAATTTGCACTCCCTCGAGAGACGTGGAGTGAGGGGCGATATGATCGAGGTGTATAAATGGAAGTCAGGGCTAAACAAAGGTGATATCACAAGGTACTCAAACTATCTAACCAGGAGCGAACTCATAGCTATGGTTTTAAATTAGACAAATTTAGATTTAGATCTATTGTCTAGTTAATAATATTTTTTGTAATACCTACTTTATATTTCTGCTTTTATTGTACCACAAAAACCGTTTTTATCGGACATTATCATGTAGATAGATAGAAATTACCATAGCAATAAATATATTTGCCAACTAGACATAATCCTGACAGCTCTGTCCTCTTGTTCCACCTTAATACAACCCATGTTGTACTGCTTCCCTCCCTTATCATATTTATGAAATCATCTCCACTGTAAAATATGTATATAGTTATAATATAAATGGAAAAAATAAATAAAATCTATAAATAACAAAGTGATAATCGTGGTAGCATTCTGACATGTCCTTACTACCACAGTATGACCTTTTTCTTCTCTATATTCAATTTCTTTCTGTTCTTATTTTTTCGCCCTCCAGGCCCCGTTGTGGGTCGTTTGACCTGTGCCCAGGTGGGCTAATTCCCGTCAAAAAAAATGCTATGTGTACTATTCCAGATGATACTAAATGTTACATAATACTTCCTTGAGATAAATGTATAGTATATATCAGGTGCCTACAAGAGAGCTCAGGTTCTCAACTGGCTCAGCCATGTTAATATTGGTATTATTATCTACTCTGTATCTGTGTTCTTCTGGCTTTATAAACTGTTTCAATATCAATATCGGGAGCCATCTTATGAGCGTTTTCTTATAAGCCTTACATTATGACTGATCATTTACAACTCACACCAACAAACTCAAGAGTATTTACAACTCACATCAACAAACTCAACATTATTTACAACTCACATCAACAAACTCGAAGATTATTTACAACTCACACCAACAAACTCAACATTATTTACAACTCACATCAACAAACTCAACATTAATTACAACTTACATCACCAAACTCGAAGATTATTTACAACTCACATCAACAAACTCAACATTATTTACAACCCACATCAACAAAATGGAGATTATTTACAACCCATATTAAGAAACAAGATTATTTTCAACTCAAACAAACTCATTTGAATTTACAACTCACACCAACAAAGTCTACCACTATACTATACCTTAGAATTCACTATTCTCGGAAAATATAATCCATAACAAACTCCTTCTCAACTATAAACTGTATTATAGGTATACATGATGACTATCTAATTACCCTTAGTAGCATCATTAATCTCCACAGTATGCCATCATAAACGATGTAGCACCAACGTGACACAATGACGCAGCACCCATCAACAGTAGGAGAGAGAGAGTAATGTATTGACGGAAATGAGCAGGGTTGCCAACTCGGATTTTCAAATGTCGCTAGGCTGGTACCTAAAAGTAGCTAAATGTCGCTAAATCTTCCATGGAAAGTCGCTAGCTATTATTCCCCCCTTCAGTAATTTGATGCAAATAATATTTTCATAATGCCGACTATAATGGACGGAGTATAAATAAAATGCATTGTGTAAAAATAAAAATATTATTTTTTTTAAAGTTTAATGTGCACACTTACCTATTATTCAATAGTAATTGCATCCCAGTCCTCTCCGTAGTGTGAACAACTGTAGAGCTGGAAGCATGTGAAGTGCTTGGTTCAGGTTCTCTTGTAACTGTGTGCCTCCACAGTCCCTATCTTTCTTAAAATATCACTAGGAAGTCCATAACTTGCACAACAGGTGTTCTGTCTTTTTAACCCATACTTTATTGTAAGAATTGCCTTTAATGTCGATAGTTTCATTTTGTTGCGCAATTTTGATTTCACAAAGTTCATATTACTAAATGTGCGCTCTACATCTGCGTTTGAATGCGGAAGAGATAAGGCAGCGAGTGCTTCAGCCAGATCATGGTAAGGGTTTTCACCTGTCGCATCTCTGTAATTTGCCACTTCTGACCACAATTTTAGGGTGTTAGATGTTTCTGTCCAGATTGTGTGATGCAGTTTTTTCCACTGGAAATCAATCTTGGTAAGGGTGCTGGAATCTTTTGTAAATAAGTGTGCCAAACCAAGTATATCTGATTTAATAGGCTTCAAGCATTCATCGGCACTCAGAAAAGATATAGACTGCAGCACACGAATGTTGTCAGGTAAGCGTTGACCAAGTTGTTTTATGAGTTCAACCCGTTCAAATGTATTGTCCCTGTAACCCCGTTGCTATATATTATGGCTCGAAATTAGGAAAACTGAGTTTTCATAGACAGTCCAAAAGTATCCAGAAAGTCGCTAGATTTCTGTGGATATCTTTAGATTTGCGACAAGTCGCAAATCGCTCTAAAATGTCGCTAGAAAAAAACAAAAAGCTCTAGATCTAGCTACAAAGTCGCTAAGTTGGCAACTCTGGAAATGAGTCTGTGAATGTCTGGTGAGTGACACCCACACTGCCGCTGTGTTCTCTTACTGAAGGTAGTGTCTGCTGTTCTTTAATTAGGTTTGATTTACATTTTTATCACAATCTTTGGTAACCTATTATGTTAACAAAAGTTTTCGGCACTACAGTACAGTATTATAGAGGATGATTTATATTATAGCGTCACATGAGCCATATGATCTTTGTATAATCAATAAATCCATTCATTAATATATATTTACCCTTATAATCACTTGACTCATAATATCATGAATCCAACATGAAAGTCAATATATAACAAATATTCAAGAGACTTACAGACTGACGTCCTGTACATGACGCAGCAAAGTTCTTTTAAGTTACAGGAAATAGTTAATATATTTTCAAATCCGAAGGTTAAATATTGAGGAAGATATTATCATTCACAGCCTTAAACCCAGTAAACACCGTGTACTTGCTCACACACAAAAAAACATGACAGCCTTATCACCGCACTTGACAATCCTACGTAACTGTAACATCAATCCTATTTCAGGCAATAAACTTTGGCAATTGACGACCATCACTTATTAGTGCCGGTGAAAAGTCGTCCCAGTGCGGTACGAGAGTTTTCCCGGCGAACGATGCCAGGGTCGGTATAGCTTGGTGAGTACATCAGTTAATAACTCAGTGTCGACTGAGTCTTAGTAAGAGGGGAGACGTGCTTAAAGTGGTGTCTGGTATAGTGAATGGTGATGCAATTGATTCTTACATCATCATTACCTGAACAAGGATACATGATAAACAACTTTTAAATGGCGTACCAGTTATATGAAATGCACATCTCGTATACTACAAAATAGGTCGGTGGTGAAATATTGAATGCATAACGCAAGAAAATGATTGACGTTTATAACATTTCAGTTACTCTTTGTATGGTGAATACAGTGTAATATTATGAAAGCTGCATGCACAGCCGTATATTAAAATTTTATTGTAAAATAATACCATGGTTGTAATATACACACAAGCCGTCAGACTACAACACCAGACCACAAGCAATCATTACTGACGTGTCAAGCAAACACTCAACGAATTATTACAGTGCGGTTGTGAAGACTTACTATCAAGAGTTAGTATATACGGTGACTTAAATACCGTGAACACGTGTGAAGAAAACACTGTGGTTGAGAAAGCAAGATATCACTACAATACTTCGGACGCCCTCCTGCCAACTGTAGGGAGCAGGGAAAGCGTCCCCCTCACCCCACACCAGACCCGCCCCTCATGACCAAACTTCCCCAGCCTTCCAAGATGGGTGTAGGGGTCACTGAAGTGGTTGAGATGTTCGCTACCAGCATTTGTGACACCGAACCCGTCGTCATAAAGGTAACCAATACTTCTAATTATGTTTGTTATGTCGTCTCACAATGTTTAAATCGTGGGAACGTTGCAAATTTCGTATACGAGTGTTTTTGACGTGAGCCATGAAACTGAACGCTGATCATATTGTGGGAAGCTGAGGACAATATCCCACGACATCATATTTTTACCCTAAAAAGGAAAGGTAACATTCTCATACACCTTGAGTTTGACTTCCGGGTTGTCCATCACCCTCCCTCCACCTGGTTTATTACACATCACTTGTACTGATCCAGTTTGTAGTTTACGGAAGTTTAATAATAAATTACAGCCAAGTTGGTCAGTTATACTGAAGGAATTTGATAAAATCACCAGAAAATATTAATACCCTGTCCTCCCCTTTTGTGTGTGTCGGTCAGCAAGATCAAGTATACTAAATTTTTTAATAACATAACTGATTATTTACCATGTATAAGTTAATTGAAACAATATATAATATCTATTGTCTGCGCTCCAACTTTTTTTTAAACCTTGTAAAGTTAAGATCGTTCGTCCACGACAAATAAATCTTGGCTTGGGAGATGACTTACCTACTAAAAATTAATAAGGAAATTTATCTCTTGTGTTGGTCTAAATAATGCATAAGATAGGGGTGAGACTCCCATGGTCCACAGGTAACACACTGACAGTGGCGGAAACGTGTTCATATTATTTTATATGAGGAAATTCAGTTGGCAACCTAGCTGGAGGCTCGCCCAGTTAGATGACGCCAAGTAGTGTCCCATGGACGTATTTTATTTTGGCTAATGCCAGCCGATTTTATTTAGCTGAAAGAAGCCCCTACCACTCAATGGGTTAACATCTAATTAAAGTTTACAGTAGACTTGTATAAACTAAAGTCATTCAACAAAGTTCGTAATGTAAACAAAGTTATTTTCACCCCAAGCCAAGTAAAAATACACTGGTGCGGTATTTACTCCTGTTGTAATACCGACACGTTATGACTGGCATCACGTGAAGAATGGGTACCCAAGCTTATTTAACATGATGTGTAAACACTACTCTCACCCCCAGGTAGTGTTAATGTTAATGGCCTATTTTTTAGGTGATCCAATGAGCAAGGATATAAACTCAACCTGACTGAACCACCAACACATAAGTTGAAATACTGTGGAGTGGGTGTGATTTTTACTACTGTGTATTGAGAGAATCCTTTGAATAACATTTGTTTTTAACAAGACTTTTATCTCTCGTGAGGAAGAGATAAATCTATTGATATTAATGTAGCCTCGGTTAAGGTTAAGACTTGTGTCTGTCTATTTTGATTATTTTACTGGAAGCAAAGGATTAGGAAACAGTTTATGGACTAATGTCTTCACTGCTCCGGTTAAATGGATCATCCCCGTGGATAATAAATAATAAACCAAAATAACTATACAGTACATAATTATGAATTAAGCTTTACTAATAATACATATAATTGACATTATTTAAAAAAAATAAAAATAAATAACATTAATAAATAAATGAGTCGAGATTATACAGTAGAGCTGGAAGGTACTTATATAGTAAGTCATACAGTACGGTCTATAACATGACTTTCCTGTGGGGTCACTACTACTGTGTGTACCCTGTCCACGTCTCGGGGATCAGGGTGCCACGCCTCGTGTTGACTACATTTGTCTTGTTTTACGGATCACCTTAATATTCCCCCAGGTAGCGTTGTGATCTTGAGGTGCTCCAGCTTTCCCGCCGGCACCTTTACCGGCTTCCACCGTTAGTAACCGTCCCCAGTACTGTATAATACGGTAACTCAGACACGAGGTTCATTGGTGTATATATATATTTTTTTTTTATTTTTTTTTTATATAACTTCAGCAGCAGTACAGGTGTAAGCAGTTATTACTTTAAAGTTATGGTACAAAAGTCGTGTCGGGGTTTTGTCCGAAGATTAAATATAACTCTTGAAACATTATGAGAGCCCCCTCCCACAAGGCAGAGCGCACCATATGTTTTCACCAAATTTTACGAGACGACTTTTATCTTTCATTGTACACACTGAAGGAAGGTCAGCGTAATGTCACTCGTATTAAGCGAGTCAGTTAGGCTCGTTAGGTACCAGACTCTACCGGAGCAGTTCACTTTTTCCAACGCATCTAATAATTTACAGCATTAAATGTCTAGGTATTAAGAGTCACTGTTTATAAAGCCGCCGTTCCCACATATTTTTGGTTGTCTAGCGCCAGTAATCATCGAGGACTGAATGGACTAACCCGTATCCATGGTGCCAGCATTAGTTACCGACGCTAAATAACACCTCCAGTCAATGAATAATTTACCATAACTCTGTAATATTGATAACACAGCCATTTATTATTGCAAGAACAATATATTATAATGCTGATGGCTAACATATATCTGAACGTCAGTGATTCACTTGTATGACACCATAGACCGTTTATAACACCGATAACTCACACCTGTTAAACACTGATGGTTACGATAATTTAACAACACAGGCTGTACCAAGTCCACGTATCCTATAACACAGGCACCAAACAGCCTTACACTGCCGGGTATCACTGATTTATAAAGCTCGAGGCGCCCTAACTCCCCCCTAACTCACACACGCATTAACCATTTATTATAAAGGTTAAATATAGGGGCTACTATATTAAACTGGGGAGGTACAGTATGGGGAGAATAGTTTATGAGGGAGTGTGGTAGGGGAGGGGGGAGATGTCAGGAACCTGGGGAGGGTTATTGTTAAGGTGTGGGGAGAGATACCGGAACCTGAGGAAACGTGTAGGTCTTGGGGAGGGATGTAGGGGCGTGGGGAGGAAGGATGAAGGGGCGTGGGGAGGAAGGTTACAGGGGCGTGGGGAGGAAGGTTACAGAAGAAATTGATGAATGAAACAGGAAATAAGTTGTAAGCCCAAGTTAGGTAGGGGGGGGTGTGATTAAAGGTGTTGTAAAGGTGAGAGGGGTTGTGAGTCAAGGTGAGAGGGGTTGAGTCAAGGTGAGAGGGTTGAGTCAAGGTGAGAGGGGTTGTGAGTGAAGGTGAGAGGGGTGAGAGGTGAGAGGGCTGAGGAAGGTGAGAGGGGTTGTGAGTCAAGGTGAGAGGGGCTGTGAGTCAAGGTGAGAGGGCTGAGTGGAAGGTGAGAGGGGTTGTGAGTCAAGGTGAGAGGGGTTGTGAGTCAAGGTGAGAGGGGTTGAGTGAAGGTGAGAGGGGTTGAGTGAAGGTGAGAGGGGTTGTGAGTCAAGGTGAGAGGGGTTGTGAGTGAAGGTGAGAGGGGTTGTGAGTGAAGGTGAGAGGGTTTGAGTCAAGGTGAGAGGGGTTGTGAGTGAAGGTGAGAGGGGTTGAGTGAAGGTTAAAAGGTCTTGTGAGAGGGAGAGAGAATCCTGTGCAAACAAACACGTCTTTATTTGTTTAACATCATAATTCTGACAAAAAAACCGTCATCCTTGAGTCACTGATAAACACACGCAAATATATTCAATGATGTTTTCTCATATCAATGTCTAATGTTTACTTTGGTCCAAAACACCATCACTGTGCAGTCTTTGAAATGTGTGTCTGTACGTTGAAAGAAGTTATTGATACAGGTCTTTTCTACTCCCCATGTCTTTTGAGATACTGTTGAACTGAACCAACTGTTTATTGCTTCATGAACACGGTAAGATGTGGAGGCTCTTCAAGCTGTTACCACGAGAGCTTTAAGAACTTGTTGTCATCATATCTCACACAGTTCCACACTTAAGGAGGCACTGTAGGAACGCATAACTAACTTCGTGTTTGTTGACGGTATGGAAGTGCAGTACTGGTGACTGTCTAGTTTAGCCTTCTCTTTTTTCTCTTCCACCCATCCATCCACTCCACCCTACCCATCCACTCCACCCTACCCATCCACTCCACCCTACCCATCCACTCCCCCACCTTACCCCTCCACTCCCAGAGCAACCAGAAGGCAGAACAACTCATTTGGCAACATCAAGGCGAGGACCAGCAAGTCGATGGAATAGGGAGGGAGAGAGGGGTGTGATGATGAGGGAGGGGGAGAGAGGGTAAATGGAGAGCGGAGGAAAAGAGAGAGAGGAGGAAAAGAGAGAGAGGAGGAGAGAGGGTGAAGAGGGAAGGGGATGTAAAGATTAATAGGACAGATGGGGAAGAGCAAGTATGCAGAGAGAAGGGAAGGAAATAGAAAGAGAGAGAGAGGGGGAAGGGGAGGAGGGAGAAAGAGAAGAGGAAGGGGGAATAAAGCAGAGAAAGAGAGAGGGAAAAAGAGTAATCCATATGGCAGAACTAAAGACGAGGTTAGTCAAGCGACATATTGGTGAACGGGGAGAGAAGAAGAGGAGGAAAGGAGAGAAAGACAGAGGGAATGAGAGAGCGCAAGAAGGGGGCAAACATGAAAGCAAATCATCGCGGAAACATGAAAGGCGGAGTTCACAGAGAGAGAGAGAGAGGAGGAAGGGCAACTAGATGGAGCAGTGAAGGCAGGGTGGAAGAGATGAGGGAAGTGAAGGAAAGAGAGATGAAGAGTTGAGGTGGAGGAAACGAAGGAAGGAAGAAGGGGTGGAAGAAACGAAGGAGGGAGGGAGAGAAAGGGGAGGAAGAGGTGTTCGAAATGAGGGGAAAGACGAGAAGGGGATGTTGCCTAATGTTACATCACCATGGTAATGAGGGGAGGGGGCGAACAGTCGTCAAGGAAGCAGTATGGGTGAGCGTGTGAGGGGTAGGGGTGGTGAGGGATGGGGGAGATGAGGAGAGGGAGAGGGTTGATAGGTGCTTCCAGACGAGGCATCATGAATAGCTGGAGTGAGACATTGATGGCTTGAGAAGGTGAGACATGATTCTGGGAAGGAAGAGACATACACAGGGGAGTCACACATTACCGGTAATTAACTGATGATCAATGTCTTAAGATGGTCAGGTAGCCACACTGATGATATGATCGAGACTGAGTTAATAATGAAGGATAAACAGTATGACTTTGTTAACTTTATATATCCAGGTATTTACTTTT